AAAAAAAAAAAAAAAAAAAGTTTGTGGGTTGGGTGCAGGGGCTCACATCTGTAACCCCAGCACTTTGGGAGGCTGAGGAAGGAGGATCACTTGAGATCAGGAGTTCAAGACCAGCCTGGCCAACATGATGAAGCCCCGTCTCTACTAAAAATACAAAAAATAGCTGGGCATCCTGGTGCACATGTGTAATCTCAGCTATTAGGGAGGTTGAGGCAGGAGAATCGCTTGAATCTAGGAGGCAGAGGCTGCAGTGAGCTGAGCCCATGCCTCTGCACTCCAGCCTAGGCAACAGAGTGAGCTCCTGTCTCAAAAAAAAAAAGTTTGAGCCGCTTCCCGCGGCCAACTTCTATTCATTTGACCGCTGTCATTCCTGCCATCCAGCAAGGGGCCTGCCACCTAACGTGCTGAATGAAAGAATGGACCTTGGGGTTTGAGTGTGGAAACCTGGGCAGGTCTGTCTTGGTGTCGCTGCGTCCCCAGTGCTCAGCCTAGGGCTCAGGACTGAAAGCTTATAAACTGTTTCAGGAAGAAGGCAGGCGGAGGGTGGGCAGACCCGAGAAATGCACAAGAGAGCTCCCAGGAAGTGAAGGGAGGGATGACAAAGCAAAGCTTGAGGGCTCGGAGAAGCTCTCAAGAAAACAAACCCAGGCATGAGCCCGCGCCTGTAACCCCAGGCTCTGGAAAACCGAGGCAGTTGGATCGCTTGAGGTCAGGAGTTCGAGACCAGCCTGGGCCACATGGCGAAACCCCGTCTCTACTAAAAATGCAAAAATCAGCCGGACGTGGTGGTGCATCCCTGTAGTCCCAGCTACTCAGGAGGCTGAGGCCGGAAAATCGCTTGAACCCGGGAGGCGGTGGTTGCAGCGAGCCAAGATCGTGCCACTGCACTCCAGTCTGGGAGACAGAGCCAGACCCTGTCCCCAAAATTGTATATATATGACGAGAAAAGAAAATAAGAAAGTCTTAAGAACATTTTTTTTGTTGTTGAGACGGAGTTTCACTCTTGTTACCCAGGCTGGAGGGCAATGGCGCGATCTCGGCTCATCGCAACCTCCGCCTCCTGGGTTCAGGCAATTCTCCTGCCTCAGCCTCCTGAGTAGCTGGGATTACAGGCACGCCCCACCATGCCCAGCTAATGTTTTGTATTTTTAGTAGAGACGGGGTTTCACCATGTTGACCAGGATGGTCTCGATCTCTTGACCTCATGATCCACCCGCCTTGGCCTCCCAAAGTGCTGGGATTACAGGCGTGAGCCACCGCGCCCGGCCTGGCACCAAGTCTTTCTTATTCACTATTGTGTCCCACCACCTGACAAAGAGGAAGCTCCCGGCCACAAGTAGATGGGCGATGCATTTCCAACATGGGCAGGACAGATGATAGTGGCCCAGATTTCAAGGAGAGAACTTCCTGGAAGTCTTGGCTCCCACACCAGCCACCCCCTTATTTTATTTTATTTTATTTATTTTTTTTGAGACAGATTCTCTGTTGCCCAGGCTGGCATGCAAGGATGCGATCTTGGCTCACTGCAACATCTGCCTCCTAGGTTCAAGCGATTCTCCTGCCTCAGCCTCCCGAGTGGCGTCCGCCAATACTCCCAGCTAATTTTTTGTATTTTTAGTAGAGACGGGGTTTCGCCGTGTTGACCAGGTTGGTCTCGAACTCCTGACCTCATGATTCGCCCACCTTGGCCTCCCAAAGTGCTGGGATTACAGGCGTGAATCACTGCACCCGGCCACTGGCCACCCCCTTACAATCTTCTGGTTCCTGCACGTCTGTCTCACTGTACTCACATACCACACTGTGGCCAGTTGTTTATTGGTCTGTCTTGAAAGCTCTCTGCTGAGAGGCCTCCTCGCTCATCATCTCAAGTGACCTCAGACAACTCCATAAGGCAGGGACAACCATGCCACCAATGAGGAAACAGACCTAGAGGGGTTGGTAACAACCTGCCCAGGGTCATGTTCATGGTCATGGCAAAGGCGGAATGGGACCCCAGGCAGTGTGCTCCTCCCTGTTGGACTGTTGGGGGAAAGAGAGGCAGGACAGACAGTGGGGTGGAACCCCGTGTGTCCTGGCTCCAGCACTTTTTTCTTTTTTTTGAGACTGAGTCTTGCTCTGTTGCCCGGGCTGGAGCTCAGTGGCGTAATCTCAGCTCATTGCAACCTGCACCTCGAGGGTTCAAGCGATTCTCCTGCCTCAGCCTCCCTAATAGCTGGGATTACAGGCATCTGCCACTATGCCCAGCTAATTTTTTGTATTTTTAGTATGGACAGGGTTTCACCATGTTGGTCAGGCTGGTCTTGAACTCCTGACCTTGTGATTCGCCCACCTTGGCCTCCCAAAGTGCTGGGATTACAGGCATGAGCCACCGCAGCCATCCTCCAGCACTCTCTATATGTATAGGAAGTCCCTTGGCAAAGTTATTTCATTTTTTGCATGTCACCTTCTTTGCCTGCACAATGCAGATTTCCACTGCTTCCTCACACGGTTGCTTTGGATTTAAATGAGATAATGACCGGAATCCTCCCATAGCCTGGCACTAAGCAAGCATGTCGTAAATAAAATACTATCTAGTAATAGGATTTGTAACAGTATAAAAAGTATACTAATCTATAGTGACAGAACAAGATCGGTGGTTGACAGGGAGGGAATGCGAGGGAGAGAAAGAGGAAAGGATAACAAGGTGGCACCAGGAATCTTCTGGTTGTGGTGAGAACGTTCACAACCTTGTTAGTGGCAATAGTTGCATGGGTGTGTACAAATGTCAAAATGTAGCAAATTGCACTGTTTTTTTTCTTTTGAGATGGAATTTCACTCTTGTTGCCCAGGCTGGAATGCAGTGGCACCATCTCAGCTCATTGAAACCTCTGTCTCCCGAGTTCAAGTGATTGTCCTATCTCACTCTCCCACGTAGCTGGGACTACAGGTGCTTGCCACCACGCCCAGCTAATTTTTGTATTTTTAGTAGAGATGGGGTTTCGCCATGTTGGCCATGCTGGTCTCAAACTCCTGACCTCAGGTGATCCACTCGCCTTGGTCTCCCAAAGTTCAGGGATTAAAGGCTTGGGCCGGGCCGGGCGCGGTAGCTCAAGCCTGTAATCCCAGCACTTTGGGAGGCCGAGGCGGGTGGATCACAAGGTCAAGAGATCGAGACCATCCTGGTTAACATGGTCAAACCCCATCTCTACTAAAACTACAAAAAATTAGCTGGGTATGGTGGCGCGTGTCTGTAGTCCCAGCTACTCAGGAGGCTGAGGCAGGAGAATTGCCTGAACCCAGAAGGTGGAGGTTGCGGTGAGCCGAGATCGCACCATTGCACTCCAGCCTGGGTAACAAGAGCNTGTTGACCAGGATGGTCTCGATCTCTTGACCTCGTGATCCACCCGCCTCAGCCTCCCAAAGTGCTGGGATTACAGGCTTGAGCCACCGCGCCCGGCTGCTGATGCATTTTTAACGTCTGTTTCTCTCTCTGTTCTGGGGCCGTTCCTGCAGCCCTCAAGCTGGATTTGGAGCAGAAGCTGTTTGGACAGCATCTGGCCACCGAAGTGATTCTCAAGGCGCTGACTGGCTTCAGGAACAACAAAAATCCCAAGAAACCACTGACTCTTTCCTTACACGGCTGGGCTGGCACAGGCAAGAATTTTGTCAGTCAAATTGTGGCTGAAAATCTCCACCCAAAAGGCCTGAAGAGTAACTTTGTCCACCTGTTTGTATCGACTCTGCACTTCCCTCATGAGCAGAAGATAAAACTGTACCAGGCAAGAGAACCCGATATTATCTCGTCCACAGGCCACTGGGACTGGTCTGGGTGACCTGCTCACTAACTCTGGCCTCTGCTTCTCTTTCCTTTGTGTTGCAGTAGCTCCCGGCTCCACTGAGTTAAGGCACACTTAGTCCAGGTAGTTACAAAGCTCTCTTACAACCTTTCTCTTACTCGGTTCCAAAACAGTCCAGTGGGGTAGGGCATGCTATTTCCATGAAAAGATGAAGCCAAGGGCTGGGCGTGGTGGCTCACGCCTGTAATCCCAGCACTTTGGTAGGCCAAGGCAGGCAGATCACTTGAGGTCAGGAGTTTGAGACCAGCCTGGCCAACATGGTGAAACCCCATTTCTACTAAAAGTACAGAAATTAGCCAGGCGCGGTGATGGGCGCCTGTAATCCTAGCTACTCCGGTGGCTGAGGCAGGAGAATGGCTTGAATGCAGGAGGCAGAGGTTGCAGTGAGCCAAGATTGCGCCACTGCACTCCAACCTGGGCGGCGCAATGGGACTCCATCTCAAAAAAAAAAAGATGGATGTGGTCAAGGCTGGGTGCAGTGGCTCACGCCTGTAATCCCAACACTTTGGGAGGCTGAGGTGGGTGGATCACTTGAGGTCAGGAGTTCAAGACCAGCCTGGACAACATGGCAAAACCCTGTCTCAACTAAAAATACAAAAACCAGCCGGGCGTGGTAGCCCACATCTGTAATCCCAGCTACTCAGGAGGCTGAGGCAGGAGAATTGCTTGAACCCGGGAAGCAGAGGTTGCAGTGAGCCATGACTGCACTCCAGCCTGGGCAGCAAAGTGAAACTCTGTCTCAAAATAGAAAAGCTGGAGCCTTGATCCAAGAGAGGTGAGGTGACTTACTCCTTGTAAGCTTTGTGGCAGAGCAGGAACTTGAACCAAAATCTCCTCACTCCCAGTAGACATGGTAGCCACCTTCTCCATTGAGTGAAGGCATTCAGCATCCCCAGCAGTGCAGCTGGTGAGAGGGGCATTCAGCCTTCAAGAATTTCCTTGGGCATGGCTTCATTCAATTCTGCCCACCTCTGGTACAGCCTCAGCTTTGCCGCTGCTCTCTCTTTGCAATGTAGCCTAGAGGTCTTCTTTCTTGTAGACAGGTTTATTTCATTTGTTCCTCCCATCCTTCACATCCTTATCATTGTTTTCTTCAAAGGAAGCCTCAAAGAACTGAACCTTGAGACTGTTTCTCCTTTTGAGATCTTTCCACATTCATTTTATATTAAGTTGTCTAGGAGAGTTAGTTCCCATTTAAATGAACGTTGCCCTTGTCAAGGTTAGCATTCCCACTGGCAATATAGCAAAACCCCATGTCTACAAAAAATAAGAAATTAGCCAGGTGTGGTGGCATGCACCTGTAGTCCTAGCTACTTGGGAGGCCAAGGTGGGAGGATCACTTGAGCCTGGGAGGCTGAGGCTACAGTGAAGCATGGTTGTGTCACTGCGTTCCAGTCTGGGTGATAGAGCAAGACTCTATAAAAAAAGAAAATCCTCCTGTTAGGTGGGGACTGAAAAAAGAAACAGAAACTTAACTGAACAAGGAAGTAGAAGTATTTGCCATCCAAACTGGCATGAGACAGAGAAGACTGCCAAAAGGGAAGGGAGGCCTGCTCCGAAGGTAGCGAGTTATCTCGACTGATTGTTCAGTCAGTTACAACTCCTTGTTCTACTGTTTCCCCCCTTCTCACTACTGCACTTGACTAGTCTGGGGGGAAAAAA